CTTGACTTAAAGAGTGTTTGAGTCTGTGAATTCATTCCAGACGACCCCGTCTTGTACTTCACAGTCTTTGAGGGGTCTCAGCCTCTCAGACGGCAACATTTAGTGACTCCATTGAGCCTCAAGCAGGATTGACTGCCCCAAGAGTAAGCATGGCAGGATAACCAGCTAAGCATAGCCTTCCCAAGGGCATTCAAGGATGAAAACAGAAAAAGGAATACAAACAGAAGAAAAGGGGCAAAGAATTTCAAAAATTATTACAAGAGCCTTTTCTCCTTCAATGACAGTGGAAGCCATCACACTTGGATTCTAATATTTGTTTCTGATTTGTTTCTTTGGTAACAGTAGGTATCTAGGGAAGGACCCTAAATGAGCACTCCAGGTCTGCAAGGAGAGGCAGGGTGGTAGAATTAATTGAGGACTAAACTGGTTCAAAGTCCTGCCCCAGACACTTTGTAGCTTGAGACCCTAGGCAAATCACAGAGAGCCTTTCTGAGCCTCAGTTGCCTCATTTACAAAATAAGCATTATAACTGTCTCCCAGGGTTGTTAGGAGGTTCAAATTTGATGTTAGGAAATTTCTGAACTTTGAAGGACTCAGAAAGTTTAGTTTGTGTTGAAGACAAAAGCACCTCCCAAGGTGGAGGGTGTCACCTGTAAGTTGATGGGACTGTGCCATGGGGCCAGGGCTAGCAAGCTGGGATTTGTGGCTCCAGCTGTGGCTCACATTACTAACTAGGTTCACCTCCTGGGAGGAATCAGAGTGCCAGAGCTCGGTCCTGCTGAGTCATTGCCTAGGGGTGCTGCCTTTCACCCAGCAGCTAGGTGCAGTGGAAGGAGCTCCATCTTGGAGCTCCATCTCCAGCTCTTCTACTTACTAGCTATGGACAAGTCACTTTCCTTCTTCATCTGTAAAATACGGGGTGGGGCAGGATGTAGACTAGATGATTTCTGAAGTCCCTTCCGGCTTTAACCCTATCCCTACTACAGCCCTGGGCAGTTTGTGAATTTCCAGTAGCCGACTCCCTAGACTCCCTAGCCAAAGAGAGATGTTTGTCCAGTGATGTTTGCCCAACAGAACTGGTTCTGGTCTCGGTCCTGGGGTGGAAGCTGTTTTGGGGTTCACCCAATGGGAGAACTTTGGGCATATTCACTAGCACTGTAGACAAGATCAAGCCTACTGAATTGGGGGCCCAGACTGGCCAAAGGAAGATGTTTGATGACGTTTGAAACCTCTAACTCAAGGGTTTTCAACCTGGAGTCCATGAACTTTTTTTTTCAATTGTTTTGATAACTGTATTTCAATATAACTGTTTTTTTCTGTAATCCTATGTACTTTATTTTACACTTTTAAAAAGGTTTCACTTCAACTGCCAAAGATCCCCCACAAATCTAGCAGAAAGTCCTTGCTAGAATCCTAGGCCAAAATGAAGATTCCAACTCTCAGTGCAGAGAAGAGAAGAAAAAGAGAAGAAACTAAGAGAATATAGCCCCACCCTCTCAAATATGAATTCATTGAGAGCAGGGACTGATTCATTTTTGTCTTTGTTCCCCCAGAACCCAGAACAGTTTGTGGCACATGGGCAGTGCTTTAAAAAATCCTCGTTGACTCGGTCCCAAAGAAGAAAGATAAGAAGGTGCCTTCCCCTCTTCTTAAGGGGATGGGAGACCGCACGTGTGGACCACTGCGTAGAAAGTTAGGCCTTTTGGATAAGTGGGTCAGTTTCCCTAAACTGCCCCTCTCTTTCTTATTCTTTGTTATGGAGGATGGTGCTCTGAAAGAGGGAGAGGGAGGGGTGCCTTGGGAGATAGATGAATGAGATGGAAAACCAAAGATATCGATGACGTTTTGTCGGTTTTACAAAGTCTGTTGAATTGGACTGGATTAACTCTGGGCCTTTCATGGAGAATCCAAGGAAGCTTGGGGAAAGGTGGAGGCCTCAGATGGGGCCAGGAGAGAGGGTGGGGGGTGACTGCAGGGTGAGCACAGAGTGTATCTCAAAGTCTGAAGCTCCAGGTTTCTTTCTCTTCTAGAGCTGCTAGGGTGTGGTGGGAGCAGGGAATCAGAACAAGTAGGACTGGGAAGTTTGGGCTGATGATTCAGGGGGGCAGGAGGCTGGGGTATCCCCTACAAATGGGAGCCCTGATCACAAGGCTGAACGGAAGACTGCGGGCAGGACCTTGGGGAGGGGAGGGGGTCACAAGGGCTTTTGGTCATGTGAAAGCTCCTCTGGGAGCCAATTTGGTCACATCAGCCTGCCTTCTCTCTGGGCTGTCTCTCCTCTCTCTGTTCTCATCGCCATCCCCGCCCTCCGTCCTCCTCCCAGTTTACCTCCTCCCTTCCCTTTCTGTTTCTCCTTATGTCTCCTTTGCCCCCTCTTTCTTCCTAAACCACCCACCCGCTTCAGATCTCCCCTTTCACTCTGTCAGAATTTTGCCTCTTCCCAGCACCCTCTTCTTATTTCTGTCCCTCTGCCCCAGTGTCCAGTCCCCCTGCCCGATCATGTTAAATTGAGGGACCCATGGGAACTGAATTCACAGCAAAACAGGAAGAGAAGGCAGCAACAGAGGGGTGGAGGCAGGGGTGAATGACCACAAGTAACCTCCCCGATTCTCTCTCCCACAGCTGTCCTGGAGCATCCTGCCTGGCCCTCGGCCTCTCCTGCTGCTCCTCCACCAGGAGGCGGTCCCATGGGCCTGGGTTCAAATGTTGCCTGCTGATGTGTCAGCCAGCTCCTGGCCTCAGGCACAGGATCTGTAAAAAGAGGGACTTGGCATACACATATGTGCCAACTATATAGAAATGCATATGTATGTATAAAATACACACCTGTATATATACACACACGCATACATATACCCATGCACACATACCAACTATATAAGGACACATGTATGTATATATGTGTGTATATATATATATACAGGTACATGCACACATGTGCCAACTATATAGAACTGTACATGCACGTATAAAACATACACATACATATACACATGCATGCCAATGATATAAATACACGTGTGTATATATACATGTGTATACAGTTGCATACACACATGGGTACACACATTTCCACAGCTTAAAAACATGCATGCATATGTATATGTACATATATAGATATGCATATAAAGGCATGCCAACCATATAAATACATGTATATATGTACATACATGCAATATAAACTCATGTATGTACATACAGGCCAACTATATAAAACACATGTATATATGTATACATGCATACATACAAACAACTATCTTCTGATCTTTGACTCTGCTATAAATTAGCTGTGTGTTATTGACTGAGTCTTTCTGAGCCTTAGTTTCGTCTATAAAAAGTGCATGATATTACATGATACCTTGTGATCATTACATATATACACACAAATATACATGTATGTAGACAAATATATACAGATATGAATGTATATATGTATGCACATTCTAATGGAAATATGGGGTGTGTATATATATATACATATGCATGCATGCATACACACATATATACATATATACACGCACATATACACACGCCAAGGTGGGAGATGAAAGGCCAAGTTAAGGGAACAGCAAATAAGTCATTTTACTTATATTTACACGTCATCTCTTTTATAGAATGTCATCTTATTGAGGACAGGCACTGTTTGTCTTTGCATTTCCAGTACCTAGTACCATGCTTGGCACACAGCAGGCCCTTAATAAATGTGCATTGATTGGTTGGGAGGTCCGTTGTGAAGATGAGAAGCCCTGATGTATATAACGTTCAGAAAGTTAAAGGCAAAAAGCAGTTTAATGTAGTGGGGAACATGAGTCAGGGAGAACTGAGTTTGGTCCTTCTTCTCTTTCCCCTCCCCCTCCCCCCTTCCCCCATATACTGCCTGTTTGGCCTCAGACAAGTCATTGAAGCTCTTGGGGCCCCAGGTATAGTCTCAGGCAGCTGAAGGAACTTTCTCTCCAGGAGTACCCACAAATCAGTGAAATCATAAGTCTGGACCCAAACCCAAACCAAGTGAAAGGCTCTACCCCAATTTTAGGCCATTATGATTCCCCGTTTTCTCTGGAGCTCCAGAGTGGGCCCCCGATGCTAGAATGGAGCCTTATAGAGCTGCCTAGCTGGGGCAGGCTGGAGGTGGGAGAACCTTTGGCTTTGAAGGGACTGAGAATCTTAGGAGTTAAGAGGTAGAGAGGGCCAAGGCTCAATCTGTCAACAAGTGTTGAGTGCTTAGTGGCCCCCATGAGCCAGGCACTGGGCTAAGCCCTGGGGATGCAAAGACAAAAGGGAAACATGCCTGTCCTCAGGAAGATTACATTCTAACTTAGAGATGACAGGATGGAACCCTCTCATTTTACAGATGAGGAAACTGAGGCCAAGGAAGCAGAAGTGACTTATACAGAATTCTTGGTTTTCGATCCAAAGCCATTTCCACCTGACTTCATCCATATTCATTCACTCAACAAATATTTTGTGGCATGAGGCCACTGCCTTAGGTGTGCCTCGTGTATCCTGGTTCAAGACTGAATGTCTGCTCTTCCAGGGCAGAGGGGCTCTCCCTAGGAGTTCCATAAGCAGAAGTGCTCCTGGGTCACCTTTTGGCCCAAAACCACGGGCAACTGGAGAGCAGTCCCTTCATTCTTATCCTGCCCAGCCAGACAATTCATTTCAATAATTTCATGGGAACTTCTGAGCAAGGAGATTCCTTCCACCTAGTAGGGAGTTGCGGGGCAGACATGAAAATTAGGTGACTTGCCCACACTGCTAGTGTCAGAGCAGTCCAGCTCTGTATCCCTAACCTTTAGGCCACCCCACAGGCCAAAGGTGAGAAGGTAAGCCAGGGAGGATTTACTTACATTCTAAAGTGGGCAGAAGAAGCCAAGCCCATAAGTAAATATACATAACAATTAGGGGAACTGGGAAAAGCTTCTTAGGGGAAGTGTCCCTTGAGCCTTGGAGGAAGCTAAGGATTCTGGGAGGGGGAGGTGAGTAGAGTGGGCCCTCTGGGTTAGGAAGGCACTGGGCAAAGATCAAGAGGTGGGAGATGGAAGGCTAAACTGGGGGAACATCGAGTAGGTAGGTCATTTTGACTGTAACATAGAGGGTGTGAAGGAGAGGAATGTTAAATGGTTAGAAAGGTAGGCTGGACGGAGGCATCATGGGACAGATGGAGTGATGGAGAGAGAACTGGCCTGGGTTGTGGGACCCTGGGCAAATCATCTAACCTCCCCATGCTCCAGGCAGTGCTCTGAGGCTGAAAATGGCAGAGAAGTAACTGGTCTGCCTGGCTGATGGAGTTCCTTCATTCCCAGAAAGGGAGATGGGAGTGGGGAGCAGCTGAGAGAAGAAAGGGGACTGGCACCTGACAGTGGAGGGCTTTCAATGCCAAAGGAAACTGATTAGGTTCCCACAGAGGCAGAACACTTGGCGAGCTCCTAGTAACTTGGGAGTTACTGCTTTGAAGTTGTCCTCCCTATTAAACTGTGAGCTCTTTGAGGGCAGGAACTGCTTTTGCTGCTTTCTTTTGCATCCCTATCTCTTAGCCCAGGGACTGGCTGCTTTAAGACTTGCAAAGGAAAAATTACATTATCCCGTTTGATTCTCACAATCACCTCCAGGAGGGTTATTATCCCATTTTATGGATGTGGAATCTGAGTTTACCTGAAGCGCCTCATCCAGGATTGTCGTGAGGATTCAATGAGATAATATTTGTAAAGTACTTAGCACAGTGCCTGGCACACATAGTAGGTCCATATAAATGGTAGTTATTATTGTTATTGCCAGTGCCGCACTAAGCGGAACAAGTGTCTGGGTCAGGATTTGAACTCTTGTCTTTACGACTCCGAGTTCTGCGCTAGGCGGGCTGCCGTTAAGAATCCCTGAGTGCTCACATCTGCCCTTCGAGGTAGGTGCTGCGGATAGTCATTATCTTCATAGGTGAAGAAACAGGTTCGGAGAGTTTCAGTGCCTTAACCCAGCTAGTAAATGCTGAAACTGGGATTTGAACCTAGGGCTTCCTAACTCCAAGACCAGCTCTACTTAACGATTTCTATAGCGCTTTGTAAAACGACCCCCTTTCAACAACCCTGTGATGGAAGCGGTTGTTATTTTAGCTGCATTTTATGGATAAGGAAACTGAGGCTCTAAGTCTGACAGGGGTGGGGAACCTGCGGCCTCGAGGCCACATGTGACCCTCTAGGTCCTTGGGAGCGTCACATGTGGCCTCGAGGCCGCAGGTTCCTCATTCCAGCGAGGTGGACACTCGTTCCAGGATCCATAAGTCGGTCGGTATCCCAACTCAGTCTTCCGAATCTAACGCTTTCCACTCGGGATCATTACACCGTGCAACGTCAAGTGAGTTGCCTTGAGAGTTCCAGGACTCGGGTTTGAAATCTACTTTAGCACCCGTGTGATCTTGGGCAAGTCACCAGCTGTAAAAATCAAGCGGTTGCAGTTGACTGTGATCTCTATGGTCCCCTATAGCTCCAGGGCGGTCGGTTTTGCTCCCCTCTAGCACTGTCCTGGGGCGCTGGGACGCTCAGGGGGTGGGATCAGTCTCCAGCTCCGAAGTTTGCTTTCGCTTCCCACCTGTACGCCCGGCGGCTAGCCGGGTCCGCACCCGGGCTGCTCCCTTCTCTCCAGGTAGTGCGGGCCAGGAGCGGACAGCGCCTTGGCCCAGGCCCAGAGGGGGAGGTTGCGTGCGTGTGGGCTCTCGCCAGCTCGTGGGTGTCGCAATCGCGGGGCCGTAGCCGAGAGCAGAGCCGGGACCTTTGCTCCGCGAGTTGTGTCCGGAGCAGTGTCTCCGGGGGTGGGGACAGCGGGGCTGGCTCTGAGGCTGCCGGGATTGGGCTGGGGGGACCGGGAGGGCAGCGCAGGGCAGAGGGGCACCCCTTGCCAGGGGGTGAGGACAGGCAGGGAGTAGCTCTGGGCTGCAGGGAAGTGGCCTTGGTCCCTCGGGGGGTGGGGGAGTGAATGGGGGATGGGGGTGACGGCTGAGCAGGGGAGGGCTGGGGAGGAGTCATGGGGGGGTAGGAGGCTGCCCCCGGGAGGCTGGATCCCGGCCGGCGGGCAGAGCCCAGGCCGGCAGTAGCGAGGGGTGTTCCAGGCAGACGCCCTCTGGACCCCTCCCCGCCCGCAGCCTTTCCCCCACATTCACTTCCCTGGGGGGCTCTGGCTCCCTTTCCACTGCCCAGTTCCAGCTTCTGGCCGCCTGGCTAGCTCGCTCGCTCTCCTCTGGTCAGAGGGACTGCACCAACCTGCCTTCCCAGCAAGGGGGCTCCAGAGGCATTGTCCAGCAAGGGCACCAGGCCTGAGGATCTGGTGGGTCATAGGGCTGCGGGGCTGGGAGAGGGTTTCCCTTGGAAGTGGACTGGGACCCTCAGGGGGAAATGGGAGACCTGGTAGAGTCTGGTGGCAAGGATGTGTCTGGGTGGGTGGGTGGGCTGCCCTGTTGGACGCTTAGGGAAGAGGGGTCTCAGTGGGGAGGGAAGCTCTGTGCTGGCCGGCTCTGTTGAAATCCCGGGAAGATTCCTCCCAAGTACTAACTAGAGAGAAAAACAGCGGGGGCAGAAATGACTGGATAGGGGTTTTGGTGAATTCTCCTAAGGAAGAGGTCCGGGGTCCTAGGTCCGGGATTCTATTCTGGGATGCCAGGAGGTGGCAGCAGCAGGCGCGCTCGCTGAAAGCCGATTCTTGAGAGGTTAAGAGAGTGACCTGTGCCATTGGCAGAGAGTTCCATCCCTTGTCCTCATTCAGCGGTGGCAGCACTCAGAGCCCTAGTCTGAAGGTTCAACCCTAGCTTCCAGGTGGGGCATTGGAGAAAAGACTAGCTAAGTAGGGGGAAAATGGGGTGATAACATACCTAAATGCCCCCTAACCCCCAACCAGCATCGAATCTCAGAGCTGGACCATTCCTAGAGCCCTGACCCCTCTCTGTTTCAGAAAGTGGACTGGGGCTGAGTCTCTGGGGCACCTTAACCCTGTGTCCCTCCCACAGGACAGCTCCTTGGGGATGTCCAGGACCTCAAGAGGAGATGTCCTCATGGCTGGGGCTACCTGTGCCTGATATCACTCCTGGTAAGCTCGGTTCATTCCCCTACAGAGGACTCTTGTCCTAGACCTATTCTAGGTCCCCAGAAATAAGCTTCATTCTTCTTATGACCCTGTCTTCTCTCTGAAAGTCAGTCAACAAGTATTTATTAAGCACCTACTATGTGAACGGCGCTGTGTTGGGGATACAAAAAAAGACAAAAAAAAATCTTTGCTCTCAAGGACCTCACAGTCTGGGGAAGGGAAGGATTCTTCCTTGGATTTCTGGTCCCTCGTTTTTAGACTAGCCCTATCGTGGCCAATAGTGTTTCCAGTTATTGTTTCTCACCTCCTGACGACAAAGCTCATCGGAGCATACGTTTTATTGGAGGTTACCTAGTCTAACTCCTTCATTTGAAAATTAAAAAAAAAATGTATTGAACCATCCCATTAAACAAAGAATAAAGAAGGTCGGGGGTGGGGGTGGTGGTAGGAGAAGCAGCTCAGCAAAACTAGCCGACACATCAATTGAATCTGTGTATGTGATGTTCTGCACCCATAGTCCCCCACTTCTGCAGGTGCATTTTCTCATCTTGTCTCTAGAACTTTAATCCTCCCCCTCATTTCATTGATGGAGGTTCTGAGACTCAGGAAAGTGAAGTGATTGGACCAGAGTCATAGGTAGTAAATGGTAGGGCTGAAATTTATACTTGGGCCCTCCAAATCCAACTGAAGTCAATTTCCAACATACCATGTTCTAGAAAGAGCTGGCAAGGTTATCCATGCTTATCCAGTTTCTGGCTTTGAGGAGTCATGGATATTCTCTGAGACAGACTTATGCAGGGGCAAAGGGGAACGTGCCCATTTAACAGATTAGGAAATTGAGGTAGCTGAACCAGAAGGGAGGGACTGGTCTCAGGACATACATAAACCCTGGTGGCCTGACTCCCCAAACTGATGCTCTGCTGCCCTCTAAGGGTAGAAACAAGATGGTCATTTCCCAAAGCATTGGGTCTGAGTTGGGGCTGACTCTTTCTATCTTCAGAATCGGTTGTGGAGCTGTGGAAGGCTGAAGCCCAGGATGCTAAGCAGCTATGGAAGGCTCAGACTCAAGATGTGGGGGACAGCCTGGGAAAGGCTGGTAGCAGCTTCATCCTCGGGGAGGAAGCCAGGACTTCCTATCCCAGTGAGGGGGGCTCAGAGGGGGGGCAGGACGCAAGACCAACATCTGTTCTATTTCCCTGCTCCGAGGTTCATGCAGAGTCCACAGGTGAGGGGTGTTTGGATCGGGGAGAGCATGGGGGGGGGCTCCTAACCAAGCCCTCATGTTGGTGCCCACCAAAGGGCATGAGGGACAGGTAGTTTGGGAGGGGGGTAGGACTGGTAAATACAGACATCCAGGACAGCAGGGCTGGTGAGGGGGCTACTAGTACTGAAGAACCGTGAACCTAATTTGGAGTCCAGGGACTTGAGTCCTATACCTGCTTACTAAGTGACCTTGAGCCAGTCATTTCCTCTCTGGGCTCCACTGGTAAAATGAGGGTATCCCCCAGCTTTAAATTCTATGATCAGATGCTTTATATCAGTAAGCATCTGTCATTCACCTCCTTTGTGTCTGGCCCTTTCCTAAGAACAAATACAAAAATGAGACAGTCCCTGCCCTCAAAGAGCTTAGAGTCTCCCAGAGTGTTACAACATGTTCACAGATAAATACATACAAGGTATGTATGAAATACATACACAGTGCTGGTGGGGGAAGAGCTAACACCTGAGTTAATCAAGAAAGGCCTTTAGAAGGAGGTGGCATTGAACTGAGCCTGGAAAAGAGCCAGGGGTTACACTTGTCAATCAGCAGACATTTGTGTAGTGCCTGCTACCTGTCCAGCAGGGGGAAGAAGTGAGCATTCTTGGCTTGGGGAGGAGTCTGGTCAAAGGGCCAGTGAGTGAGTGAGTGTTGCGAGAGGGAATGTTGACTTGGGGAAAGCAAAATAGACCTGTTTGGCTAGAAGGGATAGTGAGTGGGTGAAAGTAGCTGCAGCTATAAGAGGTTTTCAACACCAAGCCCAGGCGTTTATGTTTCATCTCCCCTGCCATTAAACAAGCATTTATTAAAATTATGTGTCAAGTACCGCATTTATCTCCAGGAATATGAAGACAAAACCAAAAACAGTTTCTGCCCTCAAGGAGCATTTATTCTATTGGAGGATTTTTCAGTTTTATCCTCAAGGCATTTGGGAGTTTCTTGAGCAGGGGAGTGACATGGTTAACACCTGCAAATGCAACATCAGTTTGGTAGCTGGGTGCAGAATTGATTGGAGAGAGGAAAGGCTAAGGGCACAGAGACCAATCAAGAGGTTATTCTAATAGTCCAGGCTAGAGGGGATGAGGGTCTGACCTTGCATAGCCATGGTAAGAGTAAAGAAAAGGAGAGATAGATATGAGAGATACTGAGGCAAGACTTGGCAATGGGGAAGGGGGAGTGAAAGAAAAGCATGGAGAATGACTACTAGATTGTGACAGTGCCCTCAACAGAAGAGGACAGTTAAGAGAGAAATGTGTTGGAGAGAAAAGATAATGAGTTTTGTTTTGAAGTGTTTCAATAGTTAGGAAGACAACCATGGCTAGGATCACACAAATCCAGAGAGGAGGATGTACTCGGAAGTTGAGGGTAGTCTCCAGTATTGTTGAATGCTGCAGAAAGGTCAAGGAGGATGAGGACTGAGAAAAGGTCACTGGACTCAGCAACTGAGAGATCACTGATGGCCTTGGAGTGGTGAGAACAGAAGCTAGAGTGGAAGCCAGAGAGAAAGGGCTGGGACTCATGTAATATACTTCCTTCCTGCTGGAGAGATGGGGGACTGTGGGTGTGGATTTTGCATACATTCTCAGATTTGCATACTTTGTTGATTTGTTTTTCCTTAACTGTTTTTCTTTACCCACTTTTGGATATTAGGAAACAAATGATGTTAAGAAAAGGGGGAGAGATAGCATGGCTTGGGCATTAGGAAGGCCTGAAACCCAGATTGGACACATAATCATGGGCAAGCCTTCCCAGCTAGAATGTGAGCTCTGTGAGCGCAGGGAGTTTCCTTTTTGTCTTTGTCCCCCCCAGTGAGTGGAGGCAGCATACACGCACAGCCAGTGTGATACTGGGTGAGGCCTATACCTCCTGGTGCCCCTAGGCAACTTCCTAAAACTATTAAGTTGCAGAAAGTGTGCCCATTGGTAGAGAAAATGTCACCCAGGCTCCTGGTGCCAGTGAGATCACAGGCCCAGTCTGTAGCCTTCTCCCTCAGCACACAGTAGGTGTCTAATAAATGCTAATAATTGACTCAACCTTCTTATGCCCCAGATATCTCTCTAAGACTATAATCATCCATCAATCAAATGCAGCTACTCTGAGGTGGTTGGTGAGAGGTTCACCTGCATAGATGAAATCCCAAGTCTGGACCAAAAGAACAAGCGCATCCAAATTGTAAAAAAAATTTCTATGTTCCTACAGAGCAGCGGCCACTGAAGAGGAAAAAGGGGCCGGCTCCCAAGATGCTGGGGAACGAGGTCTGCAGCGTCTGTGGGGACAAGGCTTCAGGCTTCCACTACAATGTCCTGAGCTGCGAGGGATGCAAAGGATTCTTCCGCCGTAGTGTGATCAAGGGGGCCCGCTACACCTGCCACAGCGGTGGCCAGTGCCCCATGGACACCTACATGCGCAGGAAGTGCCAGGAGTGTCGCCTGCGGAAGTGCCGCCAGGCGGGCATGCGGGAGCAGTGTAAGGGCCCAGGGACCCTGGGAAGGATGGGGGCAGCCGGGCCATCTGGGCACGCGGGGGCAGCGTAAGGGACCCTGGGAAGGATGGGGTTGGCTGGGCCAGGGCACGCAGGGCTAGCCTGGGGTCGCTCTCTGGCTTCTTTCCAAGCACAGACTTCCCTGACCTCCCTCCCCCCAGTTCTTCATATCCTCTCCCTCTGGAATCTCTTTGGAGGTTCTGTGCATCTCCTCCCCCTCTGGTGTATTCCTCTTGTAGACTACAAACTCCCAGTGGGCAGGAAATGTTCATTCCTGGTGCTTCATCCTCAGTGCCCGCCCAAGGCCCTGCTTCTCTTTCCCCATCCCCTGGCCTCGCCTCACCTCCAGCCACGCCCCTAGGTGTCCTGTCCGAGGAGCAGATCCGCCTCAAGAAGCTGAAGCGTCAGGAGGAGGAGCAAAGCCAGGCGTCATCGCTGACCCCGCAGGCCCCCTCGCCGCCCCTGGCCCTGCCTCAGCTCAGCGCCGAGCAGCGGGGCATGATCGAGAAGCTGGTGGCCGCCCAGCAGCAGTGTAACCAGCGCTCTTTCTCTGACCGCCTCCGGGTCACGGTACCCTTGGCACGAGGACGGAGGGGCTGGTGGGGGTCTGTGACCCTTGGCCCCTGTCTCAAAGTGCCCCTCCTGCTCCTGTTCCCTCTGAACAGCCCTGGCCTCTGGCCCCAGACCCCCAGAGCCGCGAGGCCAGGCAGCAGCGTTTTGCCCACTTCACGGAGCTAGCCATCGTCTCTGTGCAGGAGATCGTGGACTTTGCCAAGCAGCTGCCCGGCTTCCTGCAGCTCAGCAGGGAGGACCAGATCGCCCTGCTCAAGACGTCGACCATTGAGGTGACTCCAGATGTCTGCCTCTGGGGAGGCTGGTCCATGGGTGGGGGTGGAGGTGGTCAGCAAGCACCCTTTGAGCACCCACCGTGTGCCAGGCCCTCTGCTAGGGATATGGAGAAAGGCCAAAATACCCTCCCTGGCCTCTGTGAGCTCCCATTCGAATGGGGGAGATGTCTACAGGGAAAGGGGGAGGTCATCTCAGAGCGAGGGCACTAGCGGGGGAGAGGAAGGCCTCCTGTACCGGGTGGGATTGGCGAGGAGTCTGGAAGGCAGCCGGAAGGCAGAGGGGGAGGGTGATCCAGAAATGGAGGGTCCACAGCGGCTGGGGGGAGATGCAAGGAGGCCAGGGATCAGGACACCCTGGCCAGGCCTCCCAGAGCAGGAGTGACTGGCCTGTGCTCCACAGGTAATGCTCCTTGAGACATCCCGCAGGTACAACCCTGGCAGTGAGAGCATCACTTTCCTCAAGGATTTCAGCTACAACCGCGATGACTTTGCCAAGGCAGGTAAGGAGCCTTGGGCTGGGACAGGTTGGGTTTGGGCAAAGCCAGGAGGCCTGGAAGTCTCTCCTTTGTTTTGGGGGATCCAGAATGATGGCAGAGCCAGACAGACGAGGGAGGCCTTGAAGGACAATGGAAAAAGCGCTAACCTGAGAATCTTGGATCTGAGTTCAAATTCCACCACTGCCGTGTGGCGCCTGTGTGATGTCTCTGGGTTCCATTTTCTCTTTTGTAAAATGAGGAAGTCAGACTAAATCCCCCAACTCTAGATCTCTGATCTTGTGATATGGGTGGGGCGGAGGAGAAGGGAGGGCAGGAGAGTGGAGAGCATCCTCCCAGCCAGGAGACAGCAAGGCCGATCTGGAGTTGGGTCAGGCCTTTGAGGCCTGCGTGCGTGATGGGCGAGGCCTCTTCCTGGCTCTAAGCAATTCCTTCCCCTTCATCTCCACTAGGCCCTTCCCATTATACAGCCCAATACAGTCTAACAAAGATTATTAACAATAACTGGGGCAGCTGGGTGGTGGGGTAGATACAGCACCATCACTGAAGTCGGGAGGACCCGAGTTCAAATTCTGCCTCACACTTACTAGATGTGTAACCTTGGGCAAGACACTTAACCTCGATTAATCCTCTGCTATGGGAAAGGAAAGAGGCCTAGTGACTAGGGGTCAGTATTAGCATCAGGGAGACCTGGGTTGGTCCCACCCCTGACACATAATAATGCCTGAATGACCCTGGCCAAGTCACTTAGAACTTGATAAGACAGTAAGTTGTAGAGAAGGTCCTGACCCATACTGGGAGAGTTTCCTTGTCTGAAAGTTACTTATACCCATGAAATCGCCAGTCCAGTTCTTATCCCCCGTACGAGTAATATAGAATAATTACTAGCCATGAATGGGAATTTGATCTTCTATAATTGTTTCCTACATCCCAACCTCTTCTCCCAATTTTTCCCTAAATATTTTAAAACTGTATCGATATCAGGGCAGTGAGGCGGCACAGTGGATAGAGCAGCAGCTCTGGAATCAGGAGGACCTGAGTTCAAATTTGGCCTCAAACATGTATGAGCTGTGTGACCCTGGGCAAGTCACTTAACCACTCTTCACCTCCCCCTCTCTCCCGCCCTGCAAATTTATTGATATCATTTGGTTTTATATCATCATTTCCAAGTATCCTTCCCCTCTGCTCTATCCCTCAAATCATCCCTTGTAACAAAGCATTACAAAAGAATATAAGAAACAAAAGCAATTCAACAAAATTTACCAACATACCAACCATTTCTGATAGTGCATGCAACGCTCCACACCCCAAGGCCCCCACCTCTGCAAAGGAGGAAGGAGTTACCCTGACCTTTGAAAAATTTTTTTTTAAGTCTCCTTTCTCTGGCTCAATTTTGCCATGTTGTTCTCAACAACTCCCCATCTCGGGGTCAGGGAACTAACTGGCTTAGAGGATAAGGACCATTTTTGGGTGGAGGTTTGGAAGCTGCTCCCAGCCTGAAAGATTTTCTCCAAGAATTAGCTCATATTGAGAGTTTCCAATAATGTTGAAACAGAGGTGACCCAGAGCTGCGTGGGAAAGAGATTCTTCTAATATTCCATTATCACCATCATCCTCATCATTATTTTTATTTTATTTTATTTTTTGGTGATTTCATCAGTGTGGGAAATGCCCTCCATTAAATCAATTGGCTTTAATCTGTACCTTAGAGAGTTTCCCAGAGCCCTGAGAAGTAAGTGACTTGTCCAGGTCACACAGCCCATGTGTAACCTATGTCTTGTGATGCCAAGGCCAGCCCGCTTTTCATCACACTAGGTTGCCTGTCATTACGTTATCATGAAACACATAATAATATCTAGCATGTTTAAGGTTTACAAAATGCTTTTCTTACAACAACCCTGTGAGGCAAGGAGAGCAGGAATTATTGTTCCCATTTTACAGGTGAAGAAAGTGAGTCTCAAGGCAGTGAAGTGATTTGCCCAAAGTAACCCAGCCTGTCACTTAGTGGGTTTCTACAGCTGCTCCTAGACTGTTGATAAAAATCAGGGTGAAAGTACAGGAAATGACTAATCCGTAAGTCTGGAATAGCAAAAAGAAAACTAAATGGTTTCTAAGTTTGAAGGAGCGTGGCTGACCAGCAGAACAGGGACAGCGGAATTCTGGCTGTTTAGATGGGGAACAGCTCTCCTAGAGGTTGGAGAGTAGGAGACAGGGATGCTGAAAGCTCAGCAGGCCCACTGGCATCTATAGTAAATGCCAACGCCCCTGAGACCACTGGTTCTGGGGTCAGGGGCCCTGGAAATGACTTTGAATCTGTGATCCCCCTCCCTGGTCTTCGGCTTTCTCATCCGTATTATCAGGAGGTGGTTAGACGGGACATCTGGGATCCAGTTTTCCAGTCCTGGGGATGTGTCAGAGGGGCCCTCATGAGCTCCCCTAAAGGGGCTGTGGGCTGCCCTGCTGTGCCAGCTTTAACCCTGTCCTGTGGCCTCACTCCCCAGGGCTGCAGGTGGAGTTCATCAACCCCATCTTTGAATTCTCCCGCTCCATGAACGAGCTTCAGCTCAACGATGCCGAGTTTGCTCTGCTCATTGCCATCAGCATCTTTTCTGCGGGTGTGTATCAGGGCCGGGAGGTGGGCAGTGGGGCTGTGTCCTGAAGGACTCTGGGGGCTCAGGGCTGACCAGGGAGGATGGAGGAACTCCCCCATCTTCTGGGTGCCCTGAGCCCTTCCTCAGACCTCCTCCTTGTCTCTGAGGGTGGCCCACAGACAGGCCCAACGTACAGGACCAGCTTCAGGTGGAGAGGCTGCAGCACACCTATGTGGAGGCCCTGCATGCCTACGTCTCTATCCACCACCCAAATGTGAGTGTTTCTCATGGCATCCTAGCCCTCCTGTCCAATCCTGAGTTCATGGTGTAGAAAGCCAGCAGAGAGTAATGGCAAGAGTGTGGGACTTGGAATGTGGAGCACCTGGGTTCAAGTCTTCCCTTGGACATTTACTTAGCTGTGTGATCCTAAGCAAGTCACTTACCTACTCTAAGACTTGGTTTCCCTATCTATAAAATGGGCATAATAGTAGCAAATGCCTCACAGGGTTGGTATGAAAATCAAATGAAATGATAGATAGATAAACAAAAAGATAAAGCATTTACTAAGAGGATGCTAGGTGTCAGGCATTGTGCAAAGCACTAGGGGTACAAGTACAAGCCAACCAAACTCCCTGCTCTCAAGAAGCTTCCATTCTAATGGGGGAAGAAAATGCAGACAGAGAAAACTGGAACTAGGGGTGGGGAGGAGGTGGAGAGGGGCCAGGCAGGAGGGAGGTAAAGCATGGTTGAGATCCCCAGGAGGGAATCGCCAGGCAGGAGAGAAGGGCCTTGGGGAGAGGATGCTGCAGGGTGAGGAGAAGGAAATGATGTCTATAAAACACTCTGCAAACTTGAAGAAGGCACTAGGAGACACTCGCTATTATTGATGAGGACCCTGGTGGTTATTTCCACAATCTTTCCCATCTTCTTTTGGAGCAGCTCTCTGGCCACAAAATTCCCAGATGTTTCCTACTTCTCCCACAACTTCCCCTTACCCTGCAGTATCATCGGCAGGGGAAGAAACTGAGGCCTCTGTTCTTCCGCCCCCCTCTCCCCCCCAGGATCCCTTGATGTTTCCACGGATGCTGATGAAGCTGGTGAGTCTCCGCACCCTAAGCAGCGTCCACTCAGAGCAAGTGTTCGCCCTCCGCCTGCAGGATAAAAAGCTCCCGCCCCTACTGTCGGAGATCTGGGACATGCAGGAATGATCCTCTTCTGCGTCCTAGCCTCGTGTGCGCTGGGGCAAAGGATGGGCCTTGGCCTCAGCCTGGGCTCCTTCGGGGTGGTGGGCCAGTGTGTGGATATGGGGGAAGGGCTGCGGAATGAGGAAGGGAAGACATCTCTTTGGGCTGGGTTGGGGTGGAGATCCTAAATGGGGCATTAAAAGAGAGTTGAAGGGTTGGGAGTTCTCTGGCTATTAGGGGAAATGGGGACATGGTCCAGGCAGAGAGGAATGACCAGCTTGGGATGCCTGTTTTGCACCAGGCTCTCCAAGCCCACTTCCATCGCTTCCTGCCTTCTTCATATCTGTTGGTCGCCTGACATGTCTGTGCCTGGCTGAGAAGACACCCTGGGCATGACGTGTACCATCTCGCAGCCTGACCAATGGGACATCCTTTGGCCAGAATGACCCACAGGAATGTAAAATGGAGACTAAAGGGTCTGGGTTTCTAAAGAAGGGAGGGAGACCTGTGGAAGTGGAAATTCTTGGAGGTCAAACCAAGGACAGAATCTCTGCTCCGGCGCCATCCTCTCGCCTTTCATCCCAGATGATAGTTCGTTTATAAGATATGTGTGGGTGTGATCTCATTTGAGCTCTGCACCTATCCTGGGCTCTCTGTAGGGGCTGCCAGACATCGGGGGACCTTGGCCATCCCCTTTTTGTCTGAATTATCTGGATCGTATCCAGAATAATCAGGATCCCATGTCCAGCTGTCTGGTCCTTCAGAAGATCAGGGTTCTACTCAATGAAGGGAGATGGATCTGTGCCCCTCTCTATCAGGGTAATAGAGTCCCAAGAAGGCTGATAAGATTTTTTTAAAAAGTCAAAAATATCATAAGCTTTGACCTAGAAGAGCCCTTTAGAGGTCATCCAGGCCAAGACCCTCATTTTACAGATGAGGAAGCTGAAGCTAGGAGGAGGGCGATGACCGGCCCAAGGTCCCCTTAGCAGCAGAGCTGGGATTCGAACCCAAGGACACAAGAATCCTTCGAGTCCTTTCGCCCTAGCCATAAGTTACCGCCACGCCCACTCCGCCAGGGGTCCCCCTTCGTCCCAGCCGAACTTCATGTCCCGTCATGCATCGCGGGGCGCCCCCTGCCCCTCCCTACCTCGGTGTGCGCCTTGTTCAGGAGGTGACAGCTTGCGGCTGTCCTTCCCTGCATCCCTCCCCCACCTCTTGCAGTAGGAGTAATATGTTCCACTCCAACCCCCCCCCACACACAAAATACCCCTCCCTTTTCTGGAGCTGCAGCACCTGGGCATTTCCCAAACCGTGACGGCGGTGGGGGGAGGCGGTGGGAACGGCAGTACGGAACACCGGCCAACGCAGCCACTCGTTTGTTCTCAGAAGCATCTTCCAAGGTATATCAACGCTTCGTCTCCAAAATGGACAATGTCAGCATCTATAATTAAAAGAGATTTGCACAGTAAAAATTTACGCCGACGAGTCCTCCCCTCCCCAACCGGACCAATGGTGTGTGCCCCGGGGGAGGCGAGCCAATAGCCGCCCCTCACCTTCGCTTCGGTGCTAGTGGTACGGTCCGCCCCGCCCGGCCCCTCCTGCCCTCCCGCAATGGTACACCCCCAACCCCCTCTCCAGTGTAGATGCGGAACTGGTGCGAGGCGCGGAACGCAGGGAGTCTGCGCTGCAGGCCTCCGCGCGCCCCCGGCCCGGCCTCGGCCCGCGCGCCCCCGGCCCCGCCCCGCGTCGCGCAGCCCCGCCCCCCAGTCCAGGTGAGGAGACGAGCTGCGGCCTGGGACCGAGCCCGAGCCCGTGCCCGGATCCCGGATCCCCGAGCCCGAGCCCCGGGAGGGCGGGGAGGGACAAGACTGAGGTTCGAGGGGGCCCGCGGCGGGCGGAGCGTCAGAAGGGGAGGGGGCGGTCAGGAACGATGGGGGCTCTGAGGGGGAAGGAGGGGTCTCGGGGTGGGGGCTCTGAGGGGATGGAGAGGTCTAGGGGGATGGGGGAGCAGGGAAAATGAAGGCGGGGCTGTCAGGAAGGATGAGGGGATGGGGGCTCTAAGGGGGAAGGAAAGGTCTTGGGGTGGGGGCTTTCAGGAAGGCTTACAGCGCGGAATCTGAGGGGCGTGGGGGTCAGGGATGAGGATGGGGGCTCTGAAGGGGATTGTGAGGTCTGGGGAATGGGGGATGGGCTGTCAGGAAGGATTGGAGAAGGGGGGCTTTATGAGGAAGGGGTCTTGGGCTAGGGGCTCTGAAGAGGAT